TAGTGAAGTCATTTATGTGTCAGATGGTTTTGTAAATATTTAAGGTTAAGTTAGTGTTGTCGTTTGTGTTGTAAAATTTACGTTAACGGTTTTGTAAAGTGTCAAATTCACAAGTATTGTGTAAAGTGGAACGCAGTGCCACAGTACCCAACATAACCATACTAACTGGGGGCTTAGTTCCACAAAGAGAAAGAAAGCGAGCACCTTTTGTATATGGCATTCCGGTCATTATGCAAGCACCAAGCATCTGTCGCGCTGAGAGTCGACGACGTTCGTGGAGTAAAATGTTATGCATTGCCTTTGTTCCGTTTTGGGTGAACAATATGGCCCATACAACAAAAAAAATGAAATCCCGCCAAAAGTGAAAATTGAATAAAAAGTAATAATTAATAAATATATACTATATCATTAGATGAATATTTTGGAATAACATTTTTAAATCGAGGTTTTTCAATGGATAACGGTTCAATCAAAAATTTGACCCCATTTTAGAATCTGCATTAAAAATGGAACATTTCTGTCGTTTCAAAATTCCAAATAACGTTTCTATTCCTCTCAAAAGTAAAAATAAACTTTATTGGGGAAAAATATTTTTATTTTCCAAAAAAAAAATGAAAACCTTAAATGCAAATCTAATTTTGATGCTTTTGTTTGTGATTTTTTGGATTTCCGAAAAAATTTGAAATTTCAGACAAGTTACCATTAACACTAATACGTTTCAGCGAGTCGGTCCCATCAGAGAAATTTTCATAAATCGGCGATATAATTTTATTATTTCAGCAAAATATTCTCAGATCCAACTAGAATAAGGTCAAATTATACAAATTTAGCAAAGCTAGTTATCCTACCTATTCAATTAATTTAATTTTAAAATAATCAAGACAATTCTCAAAATTACCTTAATAATCGCGTTCTCTTCGCAAAATGACGATTCATCATTCACTACCAGCATAACTAAGGGCTTGTGCTCACAGAATAATACAGATAATTTACTTATTAATGCAAAATTTAGTACCAAAAGGTAATCATAGAAGATACAAAAAAAGTTTCTTTATTTTGATTGCTGATTTTATTTCTTCTAAAATTTACCAAATCTAAAAATCCAAAATTGAATGCTATTGAATTTCATGTAACATATACTATTTATTATATAAGGAATAAAAATTTTATAGTTTTAATCAAAAATAAAGGTGTACTAAATGCATACAAAACAAGGTATTTTTTACTCATCCAAAATATGTTAACAGTGCTATTTATATAATCAATATCCGAATTTCGAAATCATTTTGATGAAATCTTTATTTTAAAATTGAGTTGACTGTTAAAATCACCCGAGAAGGAGAGAGGGTCAAAGTTGCTATTTGTCACTTTTCCACAAGAATATAATGGGGAAAAAGTTATCATATAGTTGATCTCATTCACTGAGGTGAGAGATGCATGTAGTGTAATGTTATAAACAGTGGGATTGCTGCTCTAAGTCCTAGGTTCGAGACACATTGGCTTCATTTTTCTCTTTTTTATTGACGTAAACTATTCAATTTTTGTGTTCTCCATTCAAATTTCAGAATTTTTTTTGCAGATTTCACGCTACATTCGAAGTTACCTTTTGTAACAACCACCACTGCCTACGAAAGACGAAAGTGTGTCACGATTTCACTTTTGGCACCTACTCTCAACATTTAAGGTTAATTTAAGAGTATGCACTTTTGTCACCTACTCACCCGAGAAGAGGGATTATCTCAAAGAAAAGTACATAAAATAGCAAACGCACAAGATGGCACTATGCAGCTTTATATTGTTATACAGGATGAACATATAAAATGTTTGGAAAACACTTACTTCGTTCTACAAATGTGTATCTCTTTATATCAAAGATTCTTCTCAAATTATTGAGAGACTTCTCTCAAAAAAAGGAAAATTTGATAACTAAAAAAAATTATGGCATAACCTCTCGTTTTGCATAGATATATATTTACATGGTCACAGAGCTTATTTTCATTGTCAAAACTTAAAAATTTTTAGTGGACTATACCCTTAATCATTTTATGTTTAAAAATGTTATGTATTATAGTTAATTCTTTTCTTTTTGTGTTTTGACTTGCACTTTCATCACCCAAAATCTGCGGCATTAATTTTTATTTTAACTCATTTCATCATGAAAATGCTATTTTTATTCAATTTTTCAATTTATCAGAAATTTTGATTCAGGTTTTAACGGATTATTATTTAGCTTAACTTATATATTATCTCTTTGTAAAAAATTGAAAAGGGATTCAATTTCTCAAAGTTGACATCACAATGGACAAATTATGAGAAAGGGACAAACTATCCAGTGTCACTTTTCAAAGGAATAAAAAAAATAATAAAGATGAAATAATAACATGAAATCTTATATAAATATAATTTTATCTAAATAGATAAATGAATTAAGCAGTTTACAGTTATATATATTTAATGAGAGACAATATCTAGTTCTATGGTAGAAATGACTCTTAGACTCAAATAAGTAACACAGATAGAAAGTACTCAGTATAACAATTATATATGTACACTCAAAGTTAGTCGCTGCTAAAATCTTAACCTTGCATTTCGGGAAAATCTGACAAATGGCTCTTAGACTCAAATAAGTAACACAGATAGAAAGTACTCAGTATAACAATTATATATGTACACTCAAAGTTAGTCGCTGCTAAAATCTTAACCTTGCATTTCGGGAAAATCTGACAAATGGCTCTTAGACTCAAATAAGTAACACAGATAGAAAGTACTCAGTATAACAATTATATATGTACACTCAAAGTTAGTCGCTGCTAAAATCTTAACCTTGCATTTCGGGAAAATCTGACAAATGGCTCTTAGACTCAAATAAGTAACACAGATAGAAAGTACTCAGTATAACAATTATATATGTACACTCAAAGTTAGTCGCTGCTAAAATCTTAACCTTGCATTTCGGGAAAATCTGACAAATGGCTCTTAGACTTGTTTGATAATTAATTCTTCAATTATATTATAATTTATAACATATTTCCTCAAACTATCTGTATGTCATTCAATTCCGGCCACTACATTCAATGATGGACCATTTCCTTCAAATTTTGAAATACCTTATTCAATTTGTTGTATGGAGCCCGTGATATTCAACACTATGGAGCTCCTCCAGTTTGGTATCCAAGAAGAGATAAAAGCTAGCATGGGCTACTCTCAAAAATGCAGGAAAGAATACTCCACGATCGAATACAAATGTAAGTATCCACAATGTCAAGCTAAATTCAAAGTCCGGATAATAGATCAAGATAAATATGAACTACTAATCCACTCTGACTCTCATGATCATTCTGCACCTCCGAAATCAACAAAAACAATATCCTCATTATTTGTCAGAAATTATCTTAAACATTACTTTGAAAACAATATGAATCATGCTACAGCTCAACTTAAGTGTTTCCAAGACTTAAATATTTCATATACAGACGAAGAGTTACTTTCAATATTTGCACAAGGTCCAGATGCATTACGTAAATTTGCTCAAAGAGCTGAAATTGTTTCCAAACGCTTTAGTTCGGATGAAAAAGTTTCTTTAGCTATCTTTGTCGAATCTGTTCAAGAAAGTTGTCCAGAAGATTTAATTGAATTTATCTCTGAGCCGGGAAAACTAGTTTTTTTATATGCACCTTTCGAAGCGAAGGCCTTGGTCACCAAATTTCTACGTTTCACATCGATTCAACGTATAAACTTCTAAGGGCTAACATTCCATTATATGCACTCACAGGAAAAACAGAACATACTATTGTTTTTCCTTTTTTGTATTTCTTTATTCTCCTGACACAAGCGAAAATATTCAATATTGTGTTTGTCGTTATTTTCAATATATTAATAGAGAACCCGAGATGATAAGTATGGACTGCTGCGCCCCACAAATAGCCGAGGCAATTGAGCGAGGTATTCCAAACTGTCATATTCTTTGGTGTGGCGTGCATGTCCTTCGCGCCATATTAGAAAAGCGGATAAGTTTAAATCACGAGACAATTTTGAAGAATTTTATAATCTAATGAAATTATTAGTATTCGATACTAAAGAAGAATCTCCCGAGGAAGAACAGAACCAAGAAGAAGAAATCCTAGAGAGGAACCAGCTCAATCTCACTTACTTCAAGCAGAAGAAATTGAAGAAGAGAAATATAAGAAGAATTCATCGAAAATGAATTTCAACCTTCTCAAATCTTTTTACCACGAGAATCTTCTGATGATCCAAACGATTCTGAATTTATTCCAGAAGAAGAAACGTTTGAAACAAGTGAAGAAGTTCCAGAGCACCTCACTCAAGAAGAAGCTGCAGACCTAGATGCAGTTTATGATCGAATTCTTGAAATTCTTTCCACAGAACCGAAAGCCCAAAAGTACTTCGATAGGCAATGGAGGCATCATTTAGATCGTTGGAATAAGCGCTATCGCAACGGAGGTGACGCGACTAATAACGTCAGTGAGTCACATTTCAAAGTTCTCAAGCATTCTTATTTCCCAGAGAGAAGAATATTCGATTAGACGATTTTGTTGTTGAATTATACACAACGGTTGTTCCAGCATTATTGATTAAATTTAAAGTTCAATTAATCAATAGTGATAAAGTTGTTCGTTATTACGAAAAGCTAATGACCATGAACAAATATTGGAAAACAAAAAAGTCGAATGTTTGAAAATGCTTGAAGCAATATATTCAAGTTTGCAACAAGGATCAATAGATTCAAATCTTGTTTATTGTACTTTAAAGGTACTTTTAAAAAAGAAACAATTAATGTAAAAGATTCAAATAATTTTTTATTATTATTTTATTAATTTTTTAAAATAAGGTTAATAAAAAGTGACACTGGATAGTTTGTCCCACACTCGACAAATTATAATTATCAATATTGATTGGTTTTAGGTAAACATATCATCAATGTCAAAAATCGGAGGACTTTTTTGCGAAGATAATTTTATTTTTTATTTCATTTTACACAAATGATGGCTTCATTTAATACCTCAGATGGCAACAACAGACTCCATAGGGCCTGCAAACTAGGAGATATTGCCACCGTTCAAAAAATTCTCAAAGAACCAGATCCACCAGTCAATTCTCAAAACTCTTTAGGAAGAACTCCATTACACATAGCAATTTTGATACATTCAGATCTAATTGTAGAGTTATTACTCGATTATCCTAAGATTGATCTCAATGTTAAGGATATTGAAGGCAATACTCCACTTCACTATGCTATTTGGGCAAGAAACCCAATATTAGCAATAACTATAAGCAAAATGTCAGGTGTTGATGTCAATGCCGTCAACAATCTCGGTGAATCTCCACTGTTATTTGCTTTGAGGACAGGTGACTTGGAATTGATCAATGTATTCTTAAGGAATTCCAATGTGAAAACGAATATTATTACAAAGAATGGCGAATCTATCCTTCATTATGCAATTTTCACGGGAAATCTTGATCTCGTTGCCTCAGTTCATCAACGATACAGTTATCAAATCGGAAATAAAAATTCTGATGGACATACACCATATCATTGTGCGGTTATACGCGGTTACGAAGAAATCATGAATTATTTTCCAACTCCAATTCTCACGGATACAGATCTTCATAAGAATACGTTTCTTCATTTGGCTGCAATGGGTGGAAATGTCAATATTTTCAAGCACTTTTATTCAAAATTGGCGAATTATCTAGATTATCTAAATGATAAGCAAGAATCATGTCTTGACATCGCCATTAACCACGGCCATCTTGCTTTAGTTGATTACATCATCCATCTTAAGGATTTCAACTTCAATAAATCGAATAACGAAAAGAATTCTTATATTCACTTAGCTTGTCAATCAAGCAACGAAGAACTTGTTAAATATATTCTCAATAGAACAACCTATGGCCTCTCCGAACAAAATGCAAAGGGAGAGACGCCATTAATGATTGCATGCAGAAAGAGATGCACAAACATCGTAAGAATACTCTTAGGTAAAGGCAAAGTCAATCTCAATGCAAAAGACAGCAATGGAAACACCGCATTGCATATTACAGCTCAGGAAGGAGATTTCCAAACTTTTCGAGTACTTTCAATTGCCGCAAATCCCAAAGTTAAGGAGTGCGATAAAGATGGCAATAATATCCTTCACCTCGCCGTCATTTGGAATAGATTGGAATATATCAAAGAAATTTTCAATCTTTACAACAAATTCCCTAAGAACAGTAAGAACAATGACGGCAAAACACCACTTCAGCTTGCTGATAATGATGATACTAGAAATTTATTGATTTCTTTGGGTTGTAAATGATTTTTTTTTATTTGCGGATTCGTTGTTATGATATTTACTAATATGGTATAGTTTGAAAAACTACCATATAAGTTATTTTTGAAAAATTGAATAAAATAAATTTGAAAATATGAATACCCTAAATTTTTTGTAATTGCACAAAAAAGTGACACTTTCAGCAACTTGCAGAACGGATTGTGCCAAAGGAGATAAACATCTGAACTCCAATCCAACTAAGTAGATAGAGCACATAGTAGACTATTATATTTTGTTGTTTTTTAGAAAACACACAATCTGAAGTGAATATTGATAATATGATGTATGTGTATTGACCGAGGCTAATCATATAGTGCTATGCAGATAAAATGATAGATCATATTTGCACTGTGAAATTTCTGAATATTTGATTAATTAATATAGAATCAGGCAATTTACTCTTGATGTGCTGCTTTTTTTTGATGGCATATGCACCATTAGTTTGTATTGTTAAAAATCAAAACATTTAAGAATATACGGCTTTGATTTTAAGAAATCATTCTGATTATATTTTGTAACAATAAACACCTTTTTTTGTATTTGTTTTTGATGCCTATACGAGCAACTCCAATTGGTTATATCGTGCCTAGGTATAGTTGCCGACAATGAAAAAAAAAATATCTTTGCATGCATATGATTTTTTTAATATTTGAATGTACAAAAAATCTTAGAATTTATTTATAGAAATACTGCATATATATATGGGCATATTTATCAAACTTTTATAACTTTATATTTTAAATATAAGAATATTGGAGTAATTTTAGAATAGGCGTTATCTATATATAGTATATAATTAAATTTATATTCCATAATATAAGTTAATTGTATATTTATATTATATTTTACGATTTGGGTTATTATGTAATATTCTTCAAAGATATGTTGAAAGGATTAGAGAGTACTAATAGAACTCCAATTCGTTACGCATTCAAACCTATATGTTATGCTAATAAGTAAAATTTATATTCACAAGAAAACAATATATTGGACTAATACTAATGTGATAAACCTTAAAATATAATTGTAGGATTAATACACTGTATTAAATTCCTAAATTTTCGAATAAATTAATTATTAAATCAAAAACTAAGATTTGGAGCATGAAAAATAGATGGTGATATTATACATTGTTAGTATATGATACTTTTCATTATATTCTCTTCTAAAATTTTTTTTATTGCAAAAATTTTTTTTAATTTACATAGTCCAAACGTTATCTATTGGAAGATATTACATATAGTGAACATCATATGTATATAGAAATGGCATAAATATGTAGACTACCTAAAGAATTTGAAAATGAACTTAGCAATTAAGGATATTATTTAAGAATAATGTTATACGTAGATAATCTATATGTTTTTTGATTGTTGTAATACGCTAAAATAGATCTGAAAAAAAAATTGAAAAGAAAAAAATACCATGTTGAGTTTTTAAGATAATATATGTTTTTTCAGGTCCTTTCTAAACTGAATTTAAGAATAATAATAAAAATGAAAAGTGTATTGAAGCAAACTTAAATATAAAAATAGAATAATAGTAATAATATTTTTAGCATATTGGAAAATTCTCCAAAATAAGATGAAAGGAAGGGGTTCAAGTTATGATGGACGCGATTTTTAGTTTTGAGATTTTTAAAGATAGTTGAAAAGTGCGCAAATTTTGCATGTGTTTGAGTTTTTGTAAAATTATATTGATGTCTATTTTAAATTATGCCAATTATTAATTAAATGGTCAAAGTGAACGGTTTAAGTGGTTTAAAAATTTGATGACCGTCAATGAAGATGTTACAGCGAGAAGCCAAGTTAGGTTCCCCAATCTTCGCCTCGTGAGATCTCACGAAGATGCCTAATTCCTGCACAACACCACCCTTTGGTGCGCTGACGCTGCCAACATATTTTGGTGGTCATTGTTCTTCCAATCTTAAATACAATATAAGATTCCTGGAGACATTGCCTCTGCATGTCACCCAGAATGACAGAATCTTCCGCAAATTCTTCTGATTGCGGAAGATTTACCGAGGAAGTGCAACAGTGTATTGTTGCCTGTCGGCAAATGTCATTCTGGGAGACATTGTCACTGCATGTCTCCCAGAATGACAGAAAGTTCCGCATTCATAACTTGAATGCGGAACTTTGACCGACAAGAGTGTATTGTGCACTCATGTCGGTCACAATGTCTCATTCTGAGAGACATTGTCACTGCATGTCTCCCAGAATGGAACAATCTTTTGCAATCACTTTGTGATTGCGGAACTTTGACCGACAAGAGTGTATTGTGCACTCATGTCGGTCACAATGTCTCATTCTGGGAGACATTGTCACTGCATGTCTCCCAGAATGAGAAATCGCATTCATAACTTGTGATTGCGGAACTTTGACCGACAAGAGTGTATTGTGCACTCTTGTCGGTCACAATGTCTCATTCTGGGAGACATTGTCACTGCATGTCTCCCAGAATGGAACAATCTTTTGCAATCACTTTGTGATGCGGAACTTTGACCGACAAGAGTGTATTGTGCACTCTTGTCGGTCACAATGTCTCATTCTGGGAGACATTGTCACTGCATGTCTCCCAGAATGATAGGAAGTTCCGCATTCAAACTTGAATGCGGAACTTTGACCGACAAGAGTGTATTGTGCACTCTTGTCGGTCACAATGTCTCATTCTGGGAGACATTGTCACTGCATGTCTCCCAGAATGATAGAAAGTTCCGCATTCACTTGAATGCGGAACTTTGACCGACAAGAGTGTATTGTGCACTCTTGTCGGTCACAATGTCTCATTCTGGGAGACATTGTCACTGCATGTCTCCCAGAATGGAACAATCTTTTGCATCACTTGTGATTGCGGAACTTTGACCGACAAGAGTGTATTGTGCACTCATGTCGGTCACAATGTCTCATTCTGGGAGACATTGTCACTGCATGTCTCCCAGAATATAGAAAGTTCCGCATTCATAACTTGAATGCGGAACTTTGACCGACAAGAGTGTATTGTGCACTCTTGTCGGTCACAATGTCTCATTCTGGAGACATTGTCACTGCATGTCTCCCAGAATGGAACAATCTTTTGCAATCACTTTGTGATTGCGGAACTTTGACCGACAAGAGTGTATTGTGCACTCTTGTCGGTCACAATGTCTCATTCTGGGAGACATTGTCACTGCATGTCTCCCAGAATGATACAATCTTTTGCAATCACTGTGATGCGGAACTTTGACCGACAAGAGTGTATTGTGCACTCTTGTCGGTCACAATGTCTCATTCTGGGAGACATTGTCACTGCATGTCTCCCAGAATGGAACAATCTTTTGCAATCACTTTGTGATTGCGGAACTTTGACCGACAAGAGTGTATTGTGCACTCTTGTCGGTCGCAATGTCTCATTCTGGGAGACATTGTCACTGCATGTCTCCCAGAATGATAAAAGTTCATTCATAACTTGATTGCGGAACTTTGACCGACAAGAGTGTATTGTGCACTCTTGTCGGTCACAATGTCTCATTCTGGGAGACATTGTCACTGCATGTCTCCCAGAATGGAACAATCTTTTGCAATCACTTTGTGATGCGGAACTTTGACCGACAAGAGTGTATTGTGCACTCTTGTCGGTCACAATGTCTCATTCTGGGAGACATTGTCACTGCATGTCTCCCAGAATATGGAAATCCGCATTCATAACTTGATGCGGAACTTTGACCGACAAGAGTGTATTGTGCACTCTTGTCGGTCACAATGTCTCATTCTGGGAGACATTGTCACTGCATGTCTCCCAGAATGGAACAATCTTTTGCAATCACTTTGTGATTGCGGAACTTTGACCGACAAGAGTGTATTGTGCACTCATGTCGGTCGCAATGTCTCATTCTGGGAGACATTGTCACTGCATGTCTCCCAGAATGATAGAAAGTTCCGCATCATGAATGCGGAACTTTGACCGACAAGAGTGTATTGTGCACTCTTGTCGGTCACAATGTCTCATTCTGGAGACATTGTCACTGCATGTCTCCCAGAATGAACAATCTTTTGCAATCACTTTGTGATTGCGGAACTTTGACCGACAAGAGTGTATTGTGCACTCATGTCGGTCACAATGTCTCATTCTGGGAGACATTGTCACTGCATGTCTCCCAGAATGGAACAATCTTTTGCAATCACTTTGTGATTGCGGAACTTTGACCGACAAGAGTGTATTGTGCACTCATGTCGGTCACAATGTCTCATTCTGGGAGACATTGTCACTGCATGTCTCCCAGAATGGAACAATCTTTTGCAATCACTTTGTGATTGCGGAACTTTGACCGACAAGAGTGTATTGTGCACTCTTGTCGGTCGCAATGTCTCATTCTGGAGACATTGTCACTGCATGTCTCCCAGAATGATAGAACAATTTGCATCACTTGAATGCGGAACTTTGACCGACAAGAGTGTATTGTGCACTCTTGTCGGTCGCAATGTCTCATTCTGGGAGACATTGTCACTGCATGTCTCCCAGAATGGAACAATCTTTTGCAATCACTTTGTGATGCGGAACTTTGACCGACAAGAGTGTATTGTGCACTTGTCGGTCGCAATGTCTCATTCTGGGAGACATTGTCACTGCATGTCTCCCAGAATGATGGAACAATCTTTTGCAATCACTTTGTGATTGCGGAACTTTGACCGACAAGAGTGTATTGTGCACTCTTGTCGGTCGCAATGTCTCATTCTGGGAGACATTGTCACTGCATGTCTCCCAGAATGGAACAATCTTTTGCAATCACTTTGTGATTGCGGAACTTTGACCGACAAGAGTGTATTGTGCACTCTTGTCGGTCGCAATGTCTCATTCTGGGAGACATTGTCACTGCATGTCTCCCAGAATGATAGAAAGTTCCGCATTCATAACTTGAATGCGGAACTTTGACCGACAAGAGTGTATTGTGCACTCATGTCGGTCACAATGTCTCATTCTGGGAGACATTGTCACTGCATGTCTCC